GATGATTAAGGATGGTGAGCATTTTTTCATATATCTATAGGCTGTACGCCGTTCTTCTTTGGAGAAATTTCTCTTCAAGTCCCTTGCCCATCCTGAGATGGGATCGAATGTGCTGGTTTTATATACAATCTGAAATGTTTTCATCAGACTGGTGAACCGAGCCTTCACGGCATAGTCCCCCTCTTCTTATCTTACTGTTCAGTGCCAGCTGCTCAGTCTGACCAACAACAGAAGGGGAAGCACCATTTCTTTAAGAAATGTTGATTATTCTCTGTGGCTCTCTTCTAGTGCGCAGACGTAGATGACGACGACTGGGACATATCGTCCTTAGAGGAAGAAAAATCTGTGGGGAAAAAAACTGGGAAAGAACAGAAGGAACCTCCACCACCTGTGAAGCATGAGTCAAATTTCAGTCAAGTGCCAAGTGCCTGGGGTGCATTTGTCCCGAAGGTGCCAAAGGGAGAAGGTTTGCCACTTTCATTCTGATTGTGTTTCATCCTCACAAATCTAGTTAACCATTCTATGTTAATATATCATCAGATACAAACATGCTGTCCTGAAGCTTTCTTAATTATTTTTTTTTATTAGAGAGAGGGTCTCACTTTATTGCCCTTGGTAGAGTGCCTTGGCGTCACAGCTCACAGCAATCTCCAACTCCTAGGCTTAGGCGAGTCTCTTGCCTCAGCCTCCCAAATAGCTGGGACTATAGGCACCTGCCACAATGCCCAGCAATTTTTTTATTGTAGTTGTCATTGTTGTTTGACGGGCTCTGGCTGGGTTGGACAGGCTCTGGTGTATGTGGCTGGCTAGCTGCTACTACAGCTCGCCCTAGCTGCTGAGCTACAGGCATCGAGCCTCTTTATGTTATTTTAATAAGGTCTGGGTGGGGCGGCACCTGTGGCCTAGTGGGTAGGGTGCTGGCCCCATATACTGAGGGTAGTAGGTTTGAACCCAGCCCCGGCCAGCTAACACAGTTATCCTGTGTTGATAACTACAACAACAACAACAAAAATAGCCAAGCATTGTGGCAGGTGCCTATAGTCCCAGCTACTCAGGAAGCTGAGGCAAGAGAATTGCCTAAGCCCAAGAGTTGCAAGTTGCTGTGAGCTGTGATGCCACAGCACTCCACAGAGGGTGACAAAGTGAGATACTGTCTCAAAAAAAAAAAAAGAATAAGGGCTGGATATATATAATTAACTTTTATATATTTACAAATTATTTTTATTTAATTTTTGGCCTGATCTTTAGTCTTTAAAATTTTGTTATATTATTTTATTTTATGTTTAGAGGCAAGGTCTCACTGTGTGGCCCAGAACAGTCTCAAACCCCTGGGCTCAAGCGATCCTCCTGTCTCAGCCTCCTGAGTAGCTGAGACTACAGGTGCAAACCACCACTCCTGGCTTTGAAACAAATTTTTAAAAACATGTCCATAGAAACATTCTGTAGGTAGGCAATGCCTGTAGCTCATTGGCAGCCCAGGCCAGCTAAAATAACAATGACAACTGCAACAAAAAAAAATAGCTTGGTGTTGTAGTGGGTGCCTGTAGTCCTAGCTACTTTGGTCCTGAGGCAAAAGAATTGCTTAAGCTGAGGAGTTTGAGGTTGTTGTGAGCTGTGACACCACAGCACTCTACCCAGGGTGACAGCTTGAGACTCTATCTCAAAAAAAAAAAGAGAGAAAGAAAGAAAAGAAATGAAACATTCTGTAGATAGACTTGCCCTAGTTAAAATTGCTAATCCTATATCTGAAATGATACCATACTTTGAATAGTCTTCTTATATTTTTCTGTTTCTCTATTAAATATTTTTACTTATTTTCTTCCAAGGGAAGATTTTCTTGAAGCATTGTGGTCAGAGGGATGAGTTAACAAATGAAACATTGGGAGGAGTTTTGTATCTACCTAGTCTAGAACCTGGATAAGCTCCCAAACTTAACTCTCAATAGATTTTATGAAATTAGAAAACTGTAACATTTTTTATCAAAGTAATTCTTGCACATGGAGAAAGCCAGGTTGTGCAGAGGCTTCTCTGTGCCTCCTCTCACCACCTTCAGTGCCCCTCTCAGTAATGGCTGTAGACCACTCTCTTTTGATTCATCATCTTGAGACGTAGCCACTGATGTCCTGCTAGGAGAGATGGGACATACTCTGTTTGTAATTTTAAATTAATATATGCACATCCCCACACTTGCTCTGAGCATTTTCAGCAGCATCTCTTGCACCCCCTTTGTGAGATGAGCCACTGCCACCTGTCTCCTTCATGCTACTTTCTCTCCCCTGTGCCTTGACTGTCACACTGTCTAATTACCACATGGTAGTCATGTACCACCATGAAGTTATATGTGCTGTGCCCAAGGATGGACTCTAATCATTGAAAACCAAGAGACTACGTCTGTGTTACAAACTCTTAACAACCATGGTGCAAGAAAGTGCCCCAAACACATATCCTGTCTCTTCCCCCACATCAGGACCCTGTGCTTCTCAAAGAAAATAAATCTAGGATCTCACTTGAGTGGAATTCTCTGCACTCTATATGTGGCTTGAATTCATGGCACTTTTTAACTGCATTGACTTTTAAGTCCCATCTATCCTAGAAAATCTGTTTCTAACATTTAATCTCCACTTGGCTTTTTAGTTTCATTCCTTTCTCTTTACCGATTCTGTCAGTTAAGGGTGACGTAAGTGTACTGAGCACAGTGGCCATCCAGGCCCCATACTGAATGCTGGGAAAGTTGGAGGAGGAGAGTGTGGCCTCTGCTGCCCGGGAGCTTGCAGGCTGCAGGGTGCAAGCTCACATCCAAGGGTCCTGTGAGCGAATCCTAGAGATGTGGCCGATTCAGAATCATGGCTGGATTCTGCAGTAGCCTCCTACATAGCTCGTGGCAGCTGGGCGATGGGATTCATGAATAGACTGAGACACTGAGTGAGAAATGGCGACATGAAATTACAGATTTCTAGAGGGTGGACATTGTGCTTGTTTAACCCCTGGGGCCTTCTCTTCCTCTTTCCCCTACCTAGGACTTCAAGATAATGAAGTAAGCACATTAAAAAGTAGCCTAGTAACTGTGACCGATTGGAGTGACTCTTCAGATGTATAATTAGAATGACACACGTCAGAAGGTCTTCCGGAAGCCAACAGTATTTCAGCATCACGGTGCTTCAGTAACCTGCCTGCAGGGTTCCAAGGCTCCTGCCTTCCAGCGTTTGCCACAATAACAAGGAAGGTGATTCCAAGAATAAGGGTCTCTTCACCTAATAACAGTATTGAAAAACAAATTGTCAACAGTATTTTGAAGCAAATAACGGCGTTTAAGACTTCCACTGCTTAAAAATAACCTGTCATTGAAGTCATAAAAAGGTTTTTCTTCAGAACAGTACAGTGTTAAGTGTTTTTTATTTTTCAAGTAATTTTCAATTGATTTTTTTAACATAACAGCAGGGTTTGATTTGAGTTATTAAAACTTTCAAAATATTTGTTCTCATGTATATTGTAACATTGGAGGTGTTTTTCTTTTAAAATGCCATTAGTATCCTTAAACTTCGGTTAGTGGACTCAGTGAAATCTAAAACGTTAGACTGGTTATTTTTCTCATAGAAGTTTAGAATTATATAATATAGGTAGGTCCATGTTAAATACATTTTCCTGAAGTACCTTTATCAAGTTCAGCTTCGACCCATTGTTAGTATGTTGCTATTAAAGTTGTTGTTTTCTGTAGCATAATCTTTATCTTGACTATTTCATGAATAAAATCTAGCTATTTTAAATGCCAATTTACCAAAATTTGAATAGAAAAAGATTGAGTAATTACTGAATTTTTATTGTGTGTAGGATTTTTTTTTTTTACTTCTTAAAAATACCCAAGTCATATAATAAAATACCTCAAAACTAATTTAGCTATATTCTTGAACAATGACATTGTCAAAGGTCAAAAAATTAATATAAACTGTTCTTTGCATTTTTAAAATACTTTGTGGTACTATCTGTACTCTGTTTCCAGGAAAAAGTAACATTTTATCTAAACTTGTTGGATTTGGGGGTCTCTTTCCATTTGTCAACCTTCTCAGTAAAGCCCTCCATCACATCATTGTGACTGTGGCTGAGTTATTAGAATGAGTTCTGAGTTAAATGCACACCAATGAGGGGACTTACTAAGGGAGATGCTTTCCTTGGTGTCCTTGCCATGTAATGTGCTGACCTAACTAGAACAAATCTTGTTTCTAACCCTTATTCCCCAGGGTCCTTTTTACTCAGTAGTGCATCCCACTTTAAAAACTCCTTCCAGGCTCGGCACCTGTGGCTCAAGTGGCTAAGGTGCCAGCCACATACACCTAAGGTGGGGGGTTCAAATTCAGCCTGGGCCTGCCAAACAACAATGATGGCTGCAACCGAAAAATAGCCGGGCATTGTGGCTGGTGCCTGTGGTCCCAGCTACTTGGGAGGCTGAGACAGGAGACTCGCTTGAGCCCAGGAATTGGAGGTTGCTGTGAGCTGTGATGCCACAGCACTCTACCCAGGGGGACAGCTTGAGGCTCTATCTCAAAAAAAAAAAAAAAAAATCCTTCCAGCTCCTCCCCAAAGACCATTTCTTGCAAACATACTCATGTTATTTGTATATTTCTACAAGCTTAAGTAAAAGCTGACTCAGATTTTCATGCAATAGGACAGAAATAAGCAACCTACAAAATTGTGCCATGCCTACTATGACCCATGGGTTACTTGGTTCATTCCATTATTTATTTAACAAATATTTATTGAACCACTTGGTTTCGTGTTGTTAATTTTTTTTTTCTTTTTAGAAACGGGGTCTCACTCTGTCGTCTGTTTTGGACACACATTCATCCATTGAGTCACACCTTTGAGTTATATCATAGCTCTTGTTACCAGGCTCTTCCTAAAGACGTGAGAAACTGAGAGTTATTGAGTAACTTGACCAAGCCCTAAGACTAGAACTTGCCGAGAGCAGGCTTTAAACCAGGTCTCTACTCCGGGTCTTCATTCCTGAGCAGAAAGGCTTGGGGAAACAATCAACTTCTACCAAGTAAACCCAATGTTGAAGTTGCTCTATCTGTGCCATAAAAGCCACTGCTAGAACTTCCCTGGTTAATTGCATCTTTTTTTTTCTTTTACATTTGATTTGCTCATTTTTCTTTGGACGGGGTTACTTTATACTGATGCCCAGCTTACATGTTTCTGGACGCTAACAAAACTTTTCATACCTTCTTGCTCTACCCTTCCTAAATTCTTCAGTGGAATCTTAAGTACTATCTTCACCAGCTCAGCTCTGAATAAAGAACTTGTGCTGGAAACGCACCCCCACACAGCCCTGTCCCACCCTGGCCTGCAGCACACAGCCTACCCTTACGTCTTTCACTTGGTTAGTATCTCTGGAAAAGATATTTCAAGTCCTATCATGGTATAGAATTTTTTATTTTGACTTTCTTTTTAAGAAACGTGTTCATTGCCTGTATTTGTTCATTACGCTCCTCTGAACAATGTGATTTTCCTTTTAAGTCTTTCATACTTTGGGGAAATGTCACGTTCACCCATATTGTGATTCGTATCGGATAATTTCTTGCTCCAAGATAACACAGATTCTAATTCTTATCCACACCTTGAAACCACATCTTGGTTCACAGGCCTGGATTTGTCATTACCATGGCAAGTTACCTAAGCCCTCTGTTCTCATTTCCTCCTCTGTGAGTACAGGTGGTTCACAGTAGGGACCTCAGGGGATGGCCGTGGGCGTGAGCCAGCCACTGGAGACCTGTGCTGCTACCTGTGGTAACTCTTACCCTCATGTGCTGTTACACAGGGTGGCGCTAGGAAGAAATCTTTAGCTTTATTCAGCAATCCCTGGAGCAACGTCTGTGCCTTAAAAGATGGCAGGTCTCTCCATTACCCAGTTCAGTCCATAAACAGGACCTGGGGGACAAGATGGAGCTCAGCCTGTCAGTTCAGCGGGAGGCAGGTACCACACCGGCTCTGGAGGCAGCCATGACCAGTATCTCTTGCTGAAGCCCCACCTTAGGACTCAGCTTTCTGTGCCAGAGAGGCCTGAGTCATCACTTAAGGTGGGTGTGTCACATAAAGAAAGGGCAGTCATATCCCAGCCCCATCAGTCCCCTCTCGAGCAATCTGAATGAATTACAGACATGACAGATGGGAGTCAGGAACTAGAAGTCCACTTGCAGCCAGTAATATGTCTGTTTAGACACCTTTGGGGGAATATTCTCAAGACTATCCTCATGCTGTTTATGAGACGCCATTCCTTATAAGGACTGGGGAGAAAGACTTCTATGTATGAATCATTAGATTAGATTAGATTAGATTAGATTATGAATACTTACTGACACTTTGGTACTAAATGTTTTACATGGCCTATAAATGTATAAAATATGTTACAAGTCCTGTAAATAACCGTTTTATTTTTTATAGAAAGCCACAACAGAAAATGATTAGCATACAACTATGTAAGAACATTTACATCCAAACAATCAAATTCATATTTCAAAAATAGTTGGACTATTAATTATAGCAGGGCCTTCATGGGCTCAGTTTGTGAACAGTTCACTTTCACAACAAACCCAAGTTACAGCTTGCCAGCAGAGAGCTCTTTTAGACGTAAGCATTTTTGTCAAACTGTTTTGAAGGGTTTGCGGCTTTAAAATCTCCTTCTCCGCCATGATACTTTGTCCGAGAAGACATGACCGATGTGGCCCCATTGTATGTGTATCCCATTCTGAAAGGCAAAACACAGTTTGGTCAAAAACAAACAACAGTTTGGTCACACACAAAGGGCAAACAAAAAATGAGAAGATACTCCATCTGCTTGTCTCTGCCAATAGCTAAGTTTAAACGTTCCTCTTTCTTAGTTAGTTCTACTCTTTCTTCTGGCCCCAAGAAACACCTAAGTGTCATTTCTGAACAGCTAGTTTGACAAAGAATCTCCGTAGAAGAAACTCATGACTTGTCTGTTCAGTTACTCTCTTTCAATACTATGTTTTCTTTTTTTTGGCAGTTTGGCCGGGGCTGGGCTTGAATCCGCCACCCCTGGTATATGGGGCCAGCGCCTTACTCCTTGAGCCAAAGGCACCGCCCTCAATACCATTTTTTAAAACTCATCTTCCTGGAACCTAGCAGACTTAATAGTGACCTTTATCTACAGTTCCTGCCTATGTGAAAATTATGATGAGTCCAGAGTGAAGAATGTGTCCTCATATTCAGGCCCATGTTTCTACATATACAGAGGGCCCCCAAAAGTTGCCAGAGATAGGGAAAATAGAAAATTATAGCTAAATATACCTTCATTTACAAAATATTCATTACAAAATGTTTACAGAATAGTCTCTACATGTTGGCCACCTCTTTCAACACACACATAGTGTCTTCTCTCCTACTCATGGTAAACACGTTCCGAGGTATCTGTTTTCCTATATGGAAAGATTACTTTCTATGGAACACCCCATAGAAACAGATTTGAAATATAATAACGATGAGCCCTTTAAAATTATATAAAACTACATTCTTGACCTTTCCCAATTCTGGGTTTTTTAAGTTTCTAAGAATCATATAAACGCTCTGTAATTTGTCCGACATATAATGATACAGAATAGCATATTTTTTAAGAAATAACTTTTGTCTCTTCATACCTGGGTGTTTTGTTGTTGTCAGATATTGAAAAGCAAAATATGACACCACCAATTATGCAGAGTGAGGCTCCTGCCCAGCCAATAAACAGAGCAGCTCCTAATTCATACCTGTGAGAAAGTATTACACAAGTATTACAGCTGACTTATTTGGGGAGTAAACAGTACTTAACACTGCTAGAGCCAATGTTTATACTAAATGCTCATTATAATTTTGCTATTGAGACTTGTACAGGACATAATAACACCTTGCTTCTGGATGATGCTGTAAACTCTCCCCTGAAGTGTTTTTATAGCATTACACCTCCCCACGGGCAGAAAGGAAGTGAATGCAATCCATGCAGGCAAGATGGAGGCCAGTGAGAGCCCGGTCTCCTGACTCACAGGGCATCTTTCCTCTGGGCTTAACCTCACCAGGCTTTCCATCTCTTTGTTCTGTCCTGAAGGATAAATTATCTAGACTATAGTTCCAAAACACAAGCTTACTTTTGCTTTCACTTTAGTTCAATTAAATAAATTTATTAAGCACCTGTTATGTGCAAATCATAGTGCAGGATACTCACAGAGTCAGGGGAAGAAACAGCATCATCCCAGCTTTCACTACAGTGTAGTGGGAAGATGCGTGAACAACAGCTATCATCTAGTGATGAACTGCTATTAAGTATTTCCTAGGTGGCAAGCCACGATTCTCTGCTGATGACTGGAGCATAAGCAAAGATCTACAATACAGTCTGTCCTCTGGGACGGTCATGTTACAAAGGTAGGAGTATCACTACTAAGAACAAAACAGTCACTTGCAGTAGAGAGCTAGAGGAAATCCTTTTGGGGGGGAATTTACACCCAGAGAAACAAAAAAGAAATGAGAAAAGGATCCCAAAACCTCAGGGACTGTGTGTTCTTCTGTTTGTCTATCATCTGTTTGTTT